GGGGCGCAAAAGTTTTATTATATTTTGTATTTTGACAAAGAGAGGTCAGAGAGTCAATTGAGTCGGCTATTGATAATGACTGAAAGTTATTTGTGCTTTCAAGACTTATAAGACTGATTATGCTCCTATATACCATTTTTATCAGTAGGAAATCTGCAGCAATAGTGCATTTTTACAATAATAATATACCCAAAACATTAATAAATTAATTTAAATATTTGCCTATATTTTGTTTTATTTAATATGTTCTTAAACCATTCAAAATTACATTTATCATTGAGAAAGAACTGCCTCTATACAAATGGTTAATGCAGCGTTTCATTTAAAATTACTTTATATTATAAAATATAATAATGNATAGAATAAATAATAAATATATTTTTAAATATATATAAAATGGCATCACTTAAAATTTTTATACATATGTAGTGTATTTAAGTTTTTGTTATAGACGATCCTTTTCCTCTTCCTCTTTTTTATTTTTATTTTTTATACCCTGAACCCACTTTCAATGGGAAATCGGGGTATAATGTTTTTGTTGAAATGTATGTAACAGGCAGAAGGAGGCGTGGCAGACCCTACAAAGTATATACATATATTCTTGATCAGGGCGACGAGCTGAGTTATGATGCTACTACAGCTAATTGTGAATGATTTTTAATTTTTTCAAATTTCTCAAATATTTAATATAATATGTAGATTATATGCTGAAAGTTTCATTAAATTCCGTTCAGTCAAAAATTAATAAAAAATAATCAAATATTTGGCCAATTAAAAAACACACGTGCAGCAGCTTCAACAGTATCGTATGCGTGTGCACGCATACATTCAAACTTCTAGAACATTCTTTGAATCACATCAGCGGTTAGTTTGGTTTAGTTTTGATAGAGGGCGCTGCAGCAGTGAATGTATTTCAATTTTGCCAAAGCTGCTTTCGAAAGTGAGGTGGCGTAGTGAGTAGCTGCGTGACGCTCGATCGAGAGGTCGCGGGCTCGAATCCCGAGCGATGCAAGTGATGTTCATTTTTTTAATTCTTTCAAAATATTTATATATTTTATTAAATGAGTTTTGTATATCATTTCTATTTTTAAATACATCGAAATTGAAATTTTAGCCATATTAAATGGGCATTTTTATTAGTTGGGTTCAGGGTAGCACCTAGTCGGGCACTCTCGACTAGAGTTTTCTTACTTGTTTTAGAGTTGGCCTTTTGTGCCTTTGGGAGGCAACTGCTGCAATTTGCGCGTTCGGCCTTTGTCGTACGTGAAAAAAAGTTAAAAAAAAAAAAAACAAACTAGAAATAAAACTGTGCACAACTCACCTACGAGTGGTTGGCGCACAAGGGGGCGTGTGCCTTGCTTTGTGGTGCATTTAGTGCACAAATTTGCAGCTTTCCTTAGGCAGCGACTCATATATTACTTATTTGCACCACGAACTGGCCTTTAAACAAATTGCATAAACATTTGTTACCCAACTAAAGCAGTTTTTATGCTCTTACACACAAACACACATACATACATATATCTATGTGTGTGTGTGTGTAGGGTTGAGCAGTGAAAAATTGCATTTTTATAGCCGTCGCGCTCTGCTTTTACGTTCTTAAGTCCATTTTATACCTGTTGTTTATTTATGGCCTTCCTTTTCGTCTACCAAATGCGAAAAAATAAGGTAAAGAAAATCCTATTCGGTTGCCCTTTCTGTTGTTGTTGTAGTCCTTGTTTTCCCTTTGTGGCGGCAAATGAATATTTGAAAACGAAAAACCTCTGCGGCTGCTCTTTTTTATTTGCTCTTTGGGTATTTTAGGATTGGCCTAGATAGGAGGCCTATGCTGGATATGTAACTTTTTTTTTTTAAATAACTATTTGCGGTTTCATCTTTGGGAAGAGGAACTATAACTGTAATGCTGTATGATTTAAATAAAAATTTAAAGAAAGGGAAACAAAATAGTTTGTAGAATTTATGTTGAAA